CACAGATTCGCATTGATAGATGAAACGATATCGGCTCTAGAAACAGATCTAGTTTGAAAAGTAGGGAGAAGGGAAAAATGTGAAGAGTGAAAAGTAGAATCATCAGCGTAAGAATGGATATAATTAGTCGCAGTGTGAAGTAAATCATTCATAAAAAGAAGGAAGAGAGTGGGTGAAAGAAGAGAACCCTGTGGGACACCACTATTGGTAGAGAAAGAGCGAGAGATCGATCCCTCGACAACAACTGTCATGGGGTCGATTCTTAAGGAAGCTAGAAATTAGAGAACAAAGTGGGGGAGAGAAACCATAAGAGGGAAGTTTGGAAAGCAAAGACTTGTGTCATACACTGTCAAATTCCTTGGAGATGTCGAGGGCCACGACGAAAGTTTCCCCATAATCCCGAAGTGAGGATTACCAAAGATGGGTGCAGTAGGAGAGCAGATCTCGCCTGGCGAAAGCCATAGAAGTGAATTGACAAAAGAGAAAGGCGATCAAGGTGAAGGAGAAAATGAGAGTTTAAGATAGTTTCGAAAATCTTAGATAGGGATGAAGTTAAGTCAATTGGGGGATAGTTATAGGGATTAGAATGGTCGCCCTTCTTCGGGATGGTCTGAACCGAGGCATGCTACCAAGAAGGAAAAGTTTGGGTTTTGAGGCAAAGGCGAAAGAGGCGAGCAGGCACAGGGACCAGAATTTCAGCACACTCCCTCAGAACACAAGGGGGTATTCTGTCCAGTCCATGCGCCTTACTCACATCCAAACTGTATAACACACCAGCAACCCTACGAGTGGAGATTATAAGAAAGCACATAGGTTCAGTAGGAGGAGTAGGAGTCGGAAGGGTAGAGCTGGAATCGTCTAAGGTGGAGTTAGAGGGAAACAAGGTGCCAAAGAGATTATCTTTATGTGGGGGCGATTTGGGTGTAGAGTTTCCAGATCGGAAGAGAGAAGGAAAAGAGGGAGTGCAGAAGTTATTACAGCTTTTTTTGGTTAAGGACCTGAAGGATTTACGAGAAGAAGAAGAATTAGTCAGGACAGCGGTCTTTCTTTTAATAAAATTCCGCTTGGCCCTACGAAGAATAACATTACAACGATTTCTAGAAGTAATGAAAAAGGAGTGGGTAACAGGAGGAGATAGTTTCATTACTTGATACGCCCTGTATCTCTCTTTACATGCAAGAGAACAGGAGCGATCAAACCATGATTGTAAAGTGAAAGTTTTGGTAGAAGATGGGATAAATGCACTCATACCATCGAGTATAACCCCAGCAATGTTTTCAGAACATACCGAGGAAAAGCAGCATTCATCCCAAGGAAAGTCGGAGAAGAATTATCGCAAGAATTGCCAGTTTGCCCTCCGATAGTGCCCTAGTTGGCTTTATGAGGGGGTGGGAGAGGTAGTCGTGCCCAGTTTGATTTAATAGAAATAAGAATGTGATCAGAGACCCTAAGGGGGCAGAAATTGAGTATGAATAGTGTAAGGGGTTAGAGGTAAAAGAAAGATCAAGAATGTTTAGTAAGTTGAGCGTGTCGATCTGGAAAACGTATAGGGTGTTTGATTATTTGTTTCAGATCATCAAGTAAGGAAAAAGAGAGTGCCTCAGCTCCACCTGGGTCATCCCTTGCAGAACCAAGCCACTTATTGTGATGTACAGTACATTGAAATCCCCTAGGTAGCGGATCTCGGTGTTGGGGTGTGTGGATAGCTACGAGTCATGGCAAGAAGTGATTTTAAAAGAGTTCCAAATAATTGGTAGAGTTGGAAGAACAGTATAGGAACAAAGAAAAATAGTCATAGTTAGTAGATATATTTTGAGCCAGATTATATCATAAGGAGAAGATTCAAGATCCGTGAGTCGAGCTATAGGTGTACGTGTGTTGCAGTAGGCGCATACACCTCCCTTAGAACGAAAAAAAAAGGTATAAAGGTTGTAGTTGGAGACTTGAAAAGGATTGGGTGAAGCTGCTTTGGTCAGTTGAAGTTCATATAGTTGTAAGAGATCAGTGGAAGAGGTTAATAGATGGTGCGCCACAAAAGAAAAATTGGATGACAGGCCGAGAATGTTGAAAAAATGAAGTGTGAAAAAACCCGACTCTCCAGTGACCGAGGTGACGTCAATTGAGGCCCCTGGGGTCTATAACCTTCCCGACTGATTTTATAAGAGAATAAAAGAATAGAAAGAATAAAACTGATCAAAAGTGAGATCATTTATTTGTATTCTGTTGTCAGTAGTAAGAGAGACAATTAAGACCCTGCAATTGTGTGTAAGACAGACAGATCAGCAGTTGGGACTTGGTCAAAATTTTCGTGTTGCCATATGGCAGCAGGGTCTACCATTAGACAACACATTATGTTTCCAATATCTTCCCAGGCGGTAGTACCTCCCTGTTTGGTAGCTGCCTACTACCTACTACCTATAACAGCAACAATATATCCTAGGTATTGTGAACAAAAAATATTATCTCTGGGTACTGTGAACAACATCATTATCTTCCGGGTACAGTGAACAACAACATTATCTCCTGTTGTACTGTGAACAAAATCAATATCTCCTGGGTACTGTGAATAACATCATTATATCCTGGGTACTATGAATAACAGGAACATTGTCTTCTTGGTACTGTGAACAAGAACAATATCTTTTGGGTACTGTGAACAAAAAAAATATCTCCTGGGTATTGTTCACAACAACAAAAATAATGGCCCATGGGTACTATGAACAACAGTAACATTTTCTCCTTGGTACTGTGAACAAGAACAATATCTTTTGGGTACTGTACATAACAGCAACAATGTTTCCTCGGTAATATGAACAACAACAGCAATGTCTCCTGGGTACTGTGAACAACAACACTGTCTACTGGATACTATGATCAACAACAATAATGTCTTCTGGGTATTCTGAACAGCAACAACAATATCTTCTGGGTGCTGTGAACAATAATTACAATATCTCCCGGGTGCTGTGAATAACAATAATTAATTTCCGGGTAATGTTAAAACAACAACGTCTCCTGGGAACTGTGAAGTACAACAACAATATCGCCTGGGTACTTTGAACAACAATAACAATATCTCCTGGGTGCTGTGAATAACAATAACAATATCTCCTGGGTGCTGTGAACAACAACAATATCACCTGAGTACATTGAATAACAACAGCAACAAATTCTCCTGGGCACCGTGGACAACAATAACAATATCTCCCGGGTACTGTGAATAACAACAATAATATCTCCTGGGTACTGTGAATAACAGCAACAATATCTCCTGGGTACCGTGGACAACAATAACAATATCTCCCGGGTACTGTGAATAACAGTAACAATATCTCCTGGGTTACTGTGACTAATAACAACAATATCTCCTGGGTACTGTGAATAACAGCAACAATATCTCCTGGGTACTGTGAATAACAGCATCAATATCTCCTGGGTACTGTGAAAACAACAACAACAATATCTCCTGGGTACTGTGAATAACAACAACAATATCTCCTGGGTACTATGAGTAACAGTAACAATATCTCCTGGGTACTGTGAATAACAACAACAATATCTCCTGGGTGCTGTGAACAACAATAATAATATCTCCTGGGTACTGTGAATAACAACAACAATAATATCTCCTGGGTACTGTGAATAACAACAACAATATCTTCTGGACATTATGAATAACAGCAACAATATCTCCTGGGTTCTGTGAATAAGAGGAACAATATCTCCTGGGTACTGTGAATAACAACAACAATATCTCATGCATACTGTGAATAACAGTAACAATATCTCCTGGATACTGTGAATAACAGCAACAATATCTCCTGGGTACTGTGAATAACAGCAAAGATATCTCCTGGGTACTGTGAATAATAGTAACAATATCTCCTGGGTACTGTGAATAACAACAACAATATCTCCTGGGTACTGTGAATAACAGTAACAATGTCTCCTGGAAACTGTGAATAAAAGCAACAATACCTCCTGGGTACTGTGAATAACAGTAACAATATCTTCTGGGTACTGTGAATAACAACAACAACAATATCTCCTGGGTACTGTGAATAACAACAACAATATCTCCTGGGTACTGTGAAAAACAGTAACAATATCTCCTGGGTACAGTGAATAACAACAACAATATCTCCTGGGTGCAGTGAACAACAATTACACTATCTCCTGGGTACTGTGAATAACAACAACAACAATATCTCCTGGGTACTGTGAATAAAAACAACAACAATATCTCTTGGGTATTGTGAATTACAGTAACAACATCTCCTGGGTACCGTGGACAACAATAACAATATCTCCCGGGTACTGTGAATAACAACAATAATATCTCCTGGGTACTGTGAATAATAATAACAATATCTCCTGGGTACTGTGAATAACAACAACAATATCTCCTGGGTACTGTGAATAATAGCAACAATATCTCCTGGGTACTGTGAATAACAACAACAATATCTCCTGGGTACTGTGAATAACAATAACAATATCTCCTGGGTGCTGTGAACAACAATAACAATATCTCCTGGGTACTGTGAATAACAACAACAACAATATCTCCTGGGGACTGTGAATAACAACAACAATATCTCCTGGGTACTGTGAATAACAGTAACAATATCTCCTGGGTATTGTGAATAACAGCAACAATATCTTCTGGGTACTGTGAATAACAACAACAATATCTCCTGTGTACTGTGAATACCAACAACAATATCTCCTGGGTACTGTGAATAACAGTAACAATATCTCCTGGATACTGTGAATAACAACAACAATATCTCCTGGGTACTGTGAATAACAGTAACAATATATCCTGGGTACTGTGATTAACAGCAACAATATCTCCTGGGTACTGTGAATAACAACAACAATATCTCCTGGGTACTGTGAACAACAATAACAATATCTCCTGGGTACTGTGAATAACAACAACAACAATATCTTCTGGGTAGTGTGAATAACAACAACAATATCTCCTGGGTACTCACCACGTCGATGATGCTGTGTAGGGAGACACCGAAGACGACGGAGAGCGCCTGGGAGGAATTAGAGGCTGGTCTGACGGAGGAGTCGTAGTTAGCCATCAGGTAGCGGGTGAGGCGATACTCCTGCTCGTCCCCCTCCACTACCTCCACCACTGTCGAGAGGCAACAGGTATGTAGGTGTGTGTCTCATGTGTGGGAACAATGCATATATGACACAGCTACACGTTGGACACATTATTAATGACAGATCAGGTTTGCGAAAATAGAAAATATGTCACAACTACACTGGCACTTGTATTACTTCGAACATATCTAGCGAACGATTCTCGGACAATTGCCTCCCATTGCCCGAGTGAATCTTAAGAACAGCTAACCATAGACCCAACCTAGCCTAACCTAACCTAACCTAACCTAACCTAACCTAAATTTAACTTAACCTAACCTAACCTAACCAATTTTTAAATATTAAATATGACTGATCCACAATTTTTTCTCACTTAACCACAATTTTTAATCAATGTTTTTCTAATTATATATTTGTAGAGTTAAAAAAGTGTATGAGTTGTGCATTTTGTGTATATAATCATAACTACAAATAAAACATGAAAATTAAGCATTAATTCTTCGCGTTATTTTCTCCTCTCTGTTCAGTTAGTTCCATATTTTGTGCCGGTTATTCACTGGCAATGGGTTGCATTGTCAAGTGGGCAGTTGTCCTTTGGGGGGCAGTTGTCCTTTGGGGGGCAGTTGTCCAGGGGGCAGTTGTCGGGGACAATTGTCAAGTGGGGGGTTGTGTCCAGGGGGCAGTTGTCCTGATACCCTGGTGAACCTACACTTGTACGGGAGAAGAGCAATCCATAACAAATGAGGACATTAAACCCCTGATGCACACACACACACACACACACACAGCAATGAACAGCGACTTCGACACATCGAACAATTAAACAAGACACAAACACTTGATGGAGACACATGAGTCTAAGCACAGGCGCAGGTGCACACAGAAACAAGGACACATAAGCTTATGTAAGCAGCCACAGGTGCTCTTGGACATACGTGCACACTGAAAAGTCATATGAAAGTAATATTTATTTGAAGGCAGAGCCGGATGTCAAAGTGTTGGTTGTAGCACTGGTGAGAGTAGTTCCCCCAATTAAAACTTTTTTTGACCTTCCTTTCTCACACCTTAGTAACCCTTATTTTTTGCTGTTCCTTAACCAGTGCTAATATTCCTACACTGATGATGTTACACCCCTTTACCCATGGTGACGAAACAATATTCCCTCATATTGACTCTGATACCTTTCTAAAAATCTCACTGGGTTACACCAACCCAGACTTCTACTTCCTCATTCCTTCTCCTTAATTAGTCATACTATCAGAAGTGTTCCCCTTCATTTAGTTACTTTATAGATCTGTATATATCTTCTATTGCCCACAAATTTATTTTACTTGGATTCTGTGAGACCAAAATCAGAAGAGATATTGAACATTTGTATAACATCCCTGATTATACTAGACACTGCGTCAACACATAACAACACACCGTGCTGTAAATTGATGCTAAGTATAGCACTTCTAAAAGAGATGATTTAAAAGTTAAGGAGGAGTTCGTGGAGATTGTTTTCACTGAATTACGTAACGACACTCGAAATATTCTGGTCGGAGTAATTTAAAGAAGGCCCCACCGCAATGCAAAGAAATTTCTTGACAAATTATTGGACCTTATTTCTGTCATAAGTTCAGAGAGGAAACTTTGCTACATTACAGGAAATTTCAACCTTGATCTTCTAAAATCAGAGACGGACGCCTCAGTAATAGACCTTCTTGCTACCTGCCATTCTTTGCCCTTCTTCAACACAATACCCAAATCCACTGGAGTAGCCGCTATCCCTGCCACTGTGATAGAATTTAACTGGTGTAAAAACGCTCCTAACAATGGTGCAAGTGGAATTAATTATTTATAACAATATTTCAGATCCTTTCCCAGCTTTCGCCATATATATAACAGCCACAAGATCTGAAAGGTATTGTAAAGTCACAATAAAATCCAGAAACTAAGGTGCCGATAATATACTCCTGTTCGAAAACGACTTATGAATGCTTAGTGGGATCTTGTCTACGCCTCCGACAACCCTAACGTGATTAGCTGCAACTTCTCTTACATCTTCAATGCTTGCTTTATTAAATGATTCCCCCCCCTCAAGATAAAGTAAATAAAAAGTATATCTATCTCCAAACCCTATATCACAAGTGAAATCAAGTCAATGATAAAAGAAAAACACAAATTCCAAAGAAAATTTGCAAGAGACCCGTAACTTTCAAGCAGTTAGAAATGCAAAAGTTGTTATGATACAAATATGCTACAGTCAACATCAGACAACAGTAAGAAAGCCTGGGGTTCTATTCAGAACAGGAACACTCATGTTACGGCTCCCCACTCAACTTTTAAGATAAATGGTACAGTTGTAACGGAACCCCTCCTCATTATCAACCACTTCAATGATTTTTTTATCCATGTTAGTAAAAATCACCGTAAGGAATTTAGAGCCTACCTGCAAAACAGACAACAAAATGAATTGTTCTTATCACCTGTTACGGCAGATGAATTATTGACCATCATGAAAATGTCCAAAGATACAGCAGCAGGCGATGACAATATACCATTGAGCATCATTAAGAAAGTGGCCCACCTATCACTACCTGTTCTCTTACACATTTGTAACTCCTCCTTCTCTAGTGGAGTCTTTCCTGAGAAACTGAAAATTGCTAAAATTCACACAGTATATAAAAAAATCTGGTGATAAACGTATCTTCAAGAATTACCACCCTATTTTAGTCCTCCCAGCCTTAAGTAAGATACTGGAGAAGCTGGAATGTTGTACACCAAATTTCTGCAGTGATAGTAACAACCTTACAGATTCTCAGTTTGGATTTAGGGCTAGAGCCGCTAGAAGGTTAACTGAGAGTGCCCTGCTGTCCTTTGCTAATGACTTCTTGAACTCTTTTGATGATAGTCAGTTCACAGTTAGAATATTCTTGGATCTCTCTAAAACCTTTGTTACTGTCGACAATACCAATCTATTGTCAAAGCTTGAACATTATGGCGTCAAGGAGTTGTCCCAAAATTGGTTTACCTCGTATTTGACTAACAGGAAGCAGTATGTCTGCTATAACAATCATCAATCTGACTCCTCACCTATTTTGTATGGCGTCCACCAAGGCTCCATTCTCGGTCCAGTACTGTTCTTGTTGTACTTAAATGATTTAGTCCACTTCAGCTCACTCGTAAAATACAACTTATTTGCAGACAATGGTAATCTCTGTAACAGTTACTTAGATCTCCATTTCTTGCTGAGAACTATGAACAATGAATTGACTAAAGTCAGAACCTGGGTAATGTGTAATAAACTGACCTTAAACCGTGAAAAAATCTAATACACGATCTTTCACAAAAGGAAAAAATTAACCCCAGATTTGGACCCCTTGCATCATGGTAATACAGTCCTCAAACGTGAAAAAAATACTAAATTCCTTTGGGTTGTTGTAGATAAACTAAATTGGAGAAAGTATATACAAGCCATTCACAGAAAAGTCAATAAACAGTGTGGTATCCTGTATCACATTCATGAGACACTCACTCTTTCAGCAATGAAAGAAATCTCTTATGACCTTGTTTACCAACACTTGCTACATTGTCACATACTATAGGGGGCCTCCGTCTCCACTAAAACACAATACATGGTCACCGCCCAGAAGATAGTTGTGCGGACAACGACCTACTTAAAAATAAAGAAAAAAGACATGAATATATTTACTGCTGTACTGTATTTGTTTATAAATTAGTTACTTACTTGATTGACAATAATTATTAATTTTTCAGTTCCAGAATAACCAAAGGTACAACTTAAGATGCCCAGACCTACTAAAACTATCCCCTATGCGCTCCTCTCAGTCCCAGACCTCCATAAAATATAATAGTAGGAAAGCATGGAACAATTTACCCCCACCCATCCGAGCAAAGACGACGCTCCCTTCCTTTAAATCATCTCTTTAATATCTATTGTCTATGTATGATATTTTTGTTGCACTTACTTTGTACTTTTACTTTTAATGTACAGTACCATTAAAACTATTGTATCATACATTGTCTCGTAGATATAAATTACTATTGTTATCAATAATTAATTGCCGTTAAAGATGACCCTGACTGTGCCTGTCCTTTTGTTTCACTTAAACACAACCCATGTTGTTTTGCTTCTCTCATTTATCAGAATAGTGTACTGTATATCAAATCCACAGTAAAAGATGTATATTCTTTTAATATAAATGTAAAAATAAAAAAAAATATAAAAACGTGATAATTGTGGTAAAATTCTCATATGTACAATCATAGACAAAAGTCGTGTCGCGGTTTGTCCGAAGAGTAAATATAACTCGTGAAACATTATGAGAGCCCCTTACCACAAGGCAGAGCGCACTAAAAGTTTAGCCCTTCGGCAATGTTTTCACCAAATTTCATGACAACGACTTTTGTCTTTCATTGTACACACAGTAAAAAAAATATCGCTCAGGGGTGGGGGTCTGCTGACTTCCGTAATGATCCATACATCAGTTGACAATAATATTGAAGCGGGGCCGCCTCGGATGGGTCCCATTGGTTGGGAAGGTTGTGGACCCCAGGGCCGACCATCATGAAACTACTGGGGCCTCAACTGACGTCACCGCGGTTGATGAAGGGTCGGCTTTTTTCACACTTCATTTTTCCAACATTTGCAGCCTGAGATCAAATTTTCTTTCTGTGGAGCACCATCTATTAACCTGTTCCCCCGACCTCTTACTACTATCTGAACTTCAACTGACCAAAGCAGCTTCACCTAAACCTTTTTAAGTCTCCAACTACAACCTCCATACCTCTTTCCGTTCTGAGGGAGGTGTATGCGCCTACTGCAACGCACGTGCACCTGTAGCTCGACTCACGGAACTTATGTCTTCCCTTTATGATGTCATCTGGCTCAAAATATATCTACCAACTACGACTATTTTCCTTTGTTTCCTGCACTGTTCTCCTAACCTTCCAACTATTTACAACTCTTTGATTATCTCACTTCTTGCCATGATTCATTGCTATCCACACACCCCAACACCGAGATCCTCTACCTAGGGGATTTCAATGTACAACACAGAGAGTGGCTTGGATCTGCAAGGAATGACCTAGGTGGAGCTGAGGCACTCTATTTTTCCGTACTTAATTATCTAGAACAAATAATTAAACACCCTACACGCGCTCCTGATCGACACGCTCAGCTTACTAACATTCTTGATCTTTGTTTTACCTCTAACCACTCATACTATTCATACTCAATTTCTTTCCCCTTAGGGCAGGGGTTCTCAACCAGGGGGGAATTCCCCCCAGGGGGGGAATTCAGGTTTTCAGGGGGGGAAACTGATTCGGGAGCAAGAGATATGTTCGATGAGAAATCAATCACAGAATTTTGGCCCTTGATGTGCGATTCCTACCCAAAAGTGGCAGAAAGAGCTATCCGTGCATTGCTTCCGTTTGTATCAACATATCTTTGTGAGTCAGGCTTTTAAACTCTGTTGCAAATTAAAACGAAGCAACGTAGTAGATTAGAGGTAGAAAATGACCTGCGTTGTGCCCTTTCAAGCACTCCTCCGCGTATCCCAGAATTGGCGAAGAAAAAACAATCACAGGTTTCTCATTGACTGTAATCTTCATCTGAATAAAATTAATTATAAATTTACAATATCCTGGTATTCTATTGAACTTTTTGTTTATTGCATTATGCTTCAGTTTGGTCTGTTAAGTAATTCATTATAAATAAAAAAAAAACTATTTTACTTTTATTCAAGTTTTATAAATCCATCAACATTTTCAATTGGCATTTAATTTGTAAAACTCCACTGTAAAAATAATCCATGTAAAATTGTAAATGTATATGTACTAATATGGAAAAAATAAAGGATTTTCAGTATTATATGCATATTATTTGGAATGCACTTTTTGAGGCAGACAATCTTGGAAAGGAGGGGGGGAATGAC